GGCTGGGGTGGAGGTGAGCAAATTTTAAGAATACACGTGTAGAGGCTCGAAAATGGCACTCTCAGACGTTAAAAATTACTTTTCAAAAGCGTTGCTCCTGACTTTTCAGGATGCTTCACCTTCCCACACGGGTAGTGAGCGTCTATTCTATGCGGGGAGTCGCAAAGCTCTAAACCTGAACCCACAGTCTTCACATGCATTATATTATTTAAGGTATAGGCCTAATAAGAGAACAAATGGAAAATCACAAAAACATTTTCAAGCATGGTTTATTAGTACACTTTTTTTAAATTTTTTATAAGAACCAGTAAAATTTTGCCCAGGCTCAGTGTTCTTATTTCTTGGCCGATTTCAGGCTCAAAATGTTATTATTTTGTTGTTATGTCACACACTTTTCAAATTATACAAAATTATTATTGTACCCAGTACTGTGTATATACACTGTCATGGAATGTTAGGTAAAAGCGGCTGTGGGAAAAATGTCCCCAGAAAAAATCCCACAGTAATCCCCCAGTAAAAATTCCCCAAATGACAGGTAGGTACACTTACTGTAGTGTATTATAGAGGGTATTACCTAGTCACACCTACTGCGGCTAGAAACAATATAGTTACATATAATATAAATCAAGATAGCCGTTAACACTGTTAAATTTAAACATCAAAGAAAGGTAATGCAGTGTTTGAATAAAGGACATAATAATAGGCCTACATCGCGTAGCATAGCTCTCAACGAATGTAGTCCTGTAAATAAATGAATAAAGATATATATATATATATATATATATATATATATATATTATTATTGATTGTAGACCACAATATTAATCACAATTATGTTGTTTTGATCGGCATATTGTTACAGTTTACCCTCCAATAGTCCGAGTTAGTTACGATTTCGCCGAGTGATTATTAAAGTTGTAAACCTGACCAAAGAGCTATGATAATGCATTAAGCGGAGTCGAAAATGGTGTATATTAAATCTTCTAAAATGTAATGAAGTTAGTTGTAGAGGGTACTTTTTTTATAACAACGTATAGATTTTGATCATGAGATTAAGGTTGATTTGGTTTAAATTTCCATTCAGACTAAAAAAAAAAATGAAGAGTTTTGAGAGACCCTCTAGGGCGACTCGACATAGCGCTAAGTAATCGTTGTTGATTTATCGATACCAAGATACTGTCACCAAGCATTTTGTTGAAATTTTTCTGTATAAAATATTTAAACTGTTGGACAAACTGAAATTGCTGAATTGTAGAATAAGATGCTTCAGGAGCGGATAAAGCGGGGGGTGGGGCACGTTGGCCGTTCCCCTTCCCCTTCAGTCCCCCCTAAAATAAAAGATAGAAAAAAAATGTGCTGTTTTGATGTTATACCCACTCAGCAGCTTTGTTTTGGTGACTTACTCGGTCTAATTGACATAGGACCTGTAATTAGGTGGTGGTTTCAGGGTTTGTCTCAAATTAGAGGGCTCTTGGAATAGAGTGTCTAAAACAAGGGTGGCACCAGGATTTTCCCGAAAAAGGGGAGGGGGTAAGGGGGCGATATTCCCGACGAAAAAAAAAATGTTGATTTGGTTGGGTTGGTTTATGGGTTTCTAAGTCTTATGTAATCGATTTTAGAGTATACTAATATGAAGAAAATGCATATACATTTTTTTCTCCTCGATGGCGGAGAGTGGGTGGAAACCATGCTCTCCCTGACGCCGGGGGTGAAGAGTCTGGCGCCTCTACTGGTCTCAAATTGGTGGGTGTACTTTTATTTTAACTGATGGAAGGTCTATACTGGTCTTACGGGTAGAAAGTGTTTCTTGTGACCACCTCCCCCTCCCGTCCCCAATGGTGCCGCCACTGAATAATAATATCCCCAATCTACTTCGGTGGTTTTTTACTAATCTTTTTTAATCTTCCTGCTTTTTCGATTTTTTTTTTTTTTTTTAATTTGGCTTGAAATCTCTTTTGATGCTACCTTCGGCCTCCCTGGTATTTCGTCTTAAAGACCCTAATGTAAGTAAGATCTTTTTAGGACTTTTTTGGCTATCCTTGCAACTCCTTGAATTAATTCCACCATTTCCTCCATCAATCTTACTTGCACTTTTGTATTGGCCTTTTGCTTGTGTTTTTCTAATGAATTTTATGCTTTTTACCTTGTGTATTGTTTTAATGATTATATTTTATTTGAGATGCGAATAAATCAAATCAAATCAAATCAAATGACATACGACTCAACTATCAATGGTCAACATTAAATTTGATCTGCCTGCATGTTGGAATTTACACAAGGAACCATTGTAGACAGTATGTCAGATTATAAATTA